AGTGGAGGAAGAAAGAGCAGGCTGAAGAAATTGAACTTTGATACAGTTGCAACAATAGCCTCAACCAACCCTATGGGGTGCTATGGAACTGGGTGACGCTTCAGAATTGTCCCAACTTGATGCAAGGGGTTGGGGAGGAGATCCTTAAACTAACACATTCCCACCCTCTTCATCCTTCGTCCTCCAACCCCCATCCTGTACCCTCCGCACCCCCCACTGGTTGTAGGCAGCCTCCCACCCCACTCCCAGGGTGCCATAACCTTTGGCCAAGGGCACTTCCCAGAATGGCCCTCAGCTGAGAGCCAACAGCCACCAACTCTTATAGCAGAGGAATGAATGTCTTACTCCGGAGGGGATCAGGGTGGCATACCCCAGCACCCTTCTCCCAATTCTCCCAATTCTCCCAGTGCTTTCTGATTTATCCCTCACAACACCACCAGAAGGGTTTTTCTAAACCCAAATTTAATCACACTACACCCTTTCTCAAACCATTCGGTAACTCCTCCTTACCAACAAGATAATTCAGTTCTGATCTCTGTCCACCTGTGAAAACTTGTCTCCCACAGCTTTCCTCCTTTTATGTGCTCTTGCCCCACTAACCCCAATCTACTGCTGTTTATCAATCCTACATGAGTGCTGCTCCCCCTGCTGGGCATGAGTTTGTCCCACTTCTCTCTAACAAGCTCCTTTCTAGCCCAGAGTAAGCACACCTTCTTTTTGATGCCTCCTGTAATATCCCCAAGGAGAAGTAATATCCTGTATACTGTTTTTATGCTCACAGTTATTTGCTTCTGTGACTGTAAGAGTGACCTCCTTAAGAGCAAAGCCTGTGTTGTATTCATTTTTTTTTTAATGTTTATTACTTTTGAGGAGGGGAAGGAGCAGAGAGGGGGGGTGCAGAGGATCCAAAGTAAGCTCTGTGCTGACTGAGACAGACCAATGCAGGGCTTGAACTCACAGAGCTAGAGATCATGACCTGAACCAAAATTGGAAACTGAACAGACTGAGCCACTCAGGCAACCCTGTCATATTCGTTTTTGAAAGTGAATGAATGAATCAGTCAGCTACGTGCATCAGTATTGTGTAAAGCTGGGTCTACATGGGCTGATTCAAACTAACTAGAGTTGCCTTCAGTCTAGTCAGCTCTTTTTTCAGAGACTTAATCTAGTTTGCCCAATGAGGGCTATAGTTGCCCCTGGGGGCAGGGATTCTATTTGGGAAATCTCAGCTGGCTCAGTATATGTGACTCAGTGCTCTGAGGGATGGGGCATTTAATACATACTTCCCATTATGTTGATGCTACCTCTTATGTTGAGAAGGGGCACAGCCAGTAATGTTTGGGTGATGTTATGAAAGGTACCATATGGCCTGACTGGCCTAAAACTGTCTCTTTTATGACTGAGCTTTCCCGTCATGGCCTTTCTGAAATTCTTACCCTCATATTTCCCTGTGATTAGAATTGGACCAGTGGTCCTTTGGGGTGAGTGCGTGCTAGGGCCTGGGCAAGCTAATTCATCTGGAGAAGAGAATTTTTATGTCTATTTATTTTTATTTTACTTGTTTCAAAATTTCTATATTTTGCATATATTTTATCATGTATATAATACTGTAGTAGAGTAACACATATATATAATTTGTAAATAAATAATATTAGGAAGTGTACACTCAAAACATTTTTTGCTAAGTAGCACATGGTTAAAACATTTTAGAGACTCCTTTATTGGACTCCAAAGACTGGAGTCTCCTTCAGCCATCACCCATTAACTTTTCAGCTGATCTGATTGCTGAGCTAATTTGTGCTAAGGCCTTAGGAAAACTCTGAAATCCAGGAGCTAAAGCAATTAGGAATGACAGGTAGGGGCAGGCAGAGGAGCAGAGCTATGTGTGGAGAGCACAGAGACTGCATCTGTCCCAAACTGATGAGCCATCTGGTAGGAAATTGAGAACCTGGAATAAAAAGAGGCAGGAGGTGGAGCAGGAGACAGCAATAGGAGGGCAGCCAACAGGAGGTATGAGGAGGCATGAAAGGGTAACAGGACTTCAGGCAGAGACAGGGACTGGGACATAGTCAAGTTGAAGTGTTGGGAGGGTGAACTTGTGGAGGTTCTGGGTTTGGAGGGGAGCCTGGATCGTGCCAGGGGCAGGTACACCCTCCTGCTGCACACCCTCCTACATGTCCTGGTAGTGATGGTGGCCTCAACGTGCTGGTGTGGGCAGCTGAGATTCAAGCAGCCATCCCACCACCAACTGCCTGGCTGCAGTGCTTGCCATTGGCCTCCTCGTCCTCTGGGTGACGGGCTGCACTTGTACCTTCCTGCTCAGCATCGCCAGGCCCATGCTTCTGATTCTGGTGGATGCCTCACTGCACCTGCAAAACCTCAAGAACAAGATTGAGAACAAGACTGAGAGTATTGGTCTCCTAGGCGCCTGGGATCTGTACCTATGGCCTGGAGAATGTCTGCCCACCCCCGACTCTGGCCTGGAACCAGGGACCCAGAGCCCTTATCCACAGCCCTAAAAATAGAGCTCCCCTTCCAGTTTAAAAAGTAGGGCATCTGCGACCATTCACCCAGGTCCAAAATTTGGATATCCCTCCTATCCAGTCCCCATTACCTAGGAGACCAGACTCTTCCCCAGCCCTGAACTTGGGGCTTGGAGATCAGAGTTTCCATGACCAACCTCAAACTCTGGACCCAGAGATACTCCCCCACCCTCAATCTGGGACCCCCCATCTCCCATGCTCAGCCCCAAAGCTGGGATCTGGAACCAAGGGAATCTCTTGAACCCTGGACTAAGGCTTTTCCAGACCTCACCCTAGCTTTGAACCCAGGGCAGGGCATTACCAGTCTTGAACCTGGGACCCAAGTGTTCCCAGCCCCCATCAAGACAGAGGATTCTAGGGGTGCCTGGATGGCTCAGTTGGTTGAGTGTCCAATGTCGCTCAGGTCATGATCTCTTGATTTGTGAGTTGGAGCCCCGTATTGGTCTCTGTGCTGACAGCTCAGAGCCTGGAGCCTACTTCATATTCTGTGTCTCCCTCTGTCTCTGCCCCTCCCCTGCTCACTCTCTGACTCTCTCTCTCTCAAGAATAAATAAACATTAAA